GCGTTCTTGCTCTTCTCCTTCTCTACTTATGATGTTTCCTCTTTTAAAGTAAGACCTTATGCCACTTTGTAAATTTCGCTTGTGCACAGATGTTGTATTGCTATCATATATTACTTTGAAGGTTTGATGATTTCTAATTGTTTTCATTGAAGGGTTTATGATGAGAAAATTAAGAGTATGGTGTTTCTTTTCCCTTCCAACACAAGTTGTGGCTGGTTCATATGGGAGTGTGGTATTTGTCAGAATGTAATCAAGACACTAATTATACACAAATTAGGAACTTTCATAGAATAAAAATTGAAAAAAATTATATTTTTAGCTTAACTGGTGTGATGGTTAGTATCTGTTTTTCAATTTATAAAAAATGATCCAACTAAGCAGTATCATTTTTAGCTTTATTGATTGTTTTTTTATAATTTGTTTGCCATAGCAAATAATAATAATAATATACGTTAATTTGTTTTAAAATCAACCTTTTTGTTTGTTATAGCAATGTATCTTTTTGTCTGTTATGGTAAATGTTTCAAATGCTTGTAGTTTAATTTTTGAGAATTTTGCTAATCCATTTTATGGAGCTTATTTTGAGTTAGGTGTCTAAAAAATATTTAAGGATTTTTTCCTTTTCAATAATGAAAATTTTAACTAATTGAATCCATGAATTTGTTTATTGGTACAAGAAGGGTATTAATGGAATTCATGAATTTTCTCATCATTTTCTAAAAATATTGTATTTTTATTTTTTTTTCTTATCAGGGATTCTGAATCAGAAGGAAAGTTATGTAAATGTAGGCTTGTGTTTTAAAATCGGTTCTGTAGCTTGGTCAGCTTACTCCGCTACAGCTTTTATAAGTCTTTTTTTGTAGTGTGTGTGTGTTTATTAAACTTGATCAGCTTACCATGTTACACTACTTGGTCAGTTTACTAACCTTTCTGAGGTATTTAAGTGTCTTTTTCCAGTGTATGTTGTGTGAGTGCTATGCCATTGAGTGACTAAATCTAAAAGACAAGGTATTTTTTGTTTGTGAATTATACCAACAATGTTGGTGCTCAATTTGTAACAAAATCCATGTCAATTGAAATGTAAAATTAGGGATTTGACCACGGAAGTGCATCTCCTTTGAAAAAGATTGGTTATGTTGTTCGTCAATAGGAATGAAACCCATTATACATATCAGAACACGGGTCGTTTGTTCAACGCCAAATTACATATCAAGCTAAGAAAGCAATGGATCTTTTTCATTCAAGGTCGAAATAGTCCAAGTAAGTGTCTTGGCAATCTTTGTTTAGTATAACTGACTTCAGAGAAAGATAGGTGACAAATCCTTTGTTTGTGTGTGTGTGTGTTACTTTCTTTGAGAAAATGATGCCACACGAAGGGAAGGAAAATATAGTTTTTTTTTCTTTTGTGAAAAAATTGACTCTCAGTTAAATTGTTATTTCTGCTTTGAGTGAAAAAAAAACAATTATATATAGTGATATTTATGGTTAGATGCAAGTAATAGTAATAAGAATGTTTAATTATATAAATACTTATTGATTTGAAGCTTTATTGTGGATATACTTACAAAATAATTTTATTTCTTGATTTTACCTTTTTTACATGTTTAAAAGGGATGTGTGGGTTGTAATTGTGTGTGTGTTTGTATTATAAAATAAACTAAAGTAGGATGTATGTTGATTTAAAAAATTTTTAAATTAATAAAAGTTAGATGCCATTATTGATACAAAACTTAGTATATTGTTATGCTTATGTTGCTCTGTGTGGTGGTGTTAGTGGCTAATATTGGCTATGTATGTTTCTTTTTTCCTGAAAAAGTGTCCAATGTGTAGTAACAAAACTTGAAGGGGAAATTTTTACAACAATGAAGACCACCAATAAATGGTTTAAGGTATAAATAGACGCAAATTAGTAGAAGAGCACCAAATTTTTATCGTTATTTTAGTTAAAGGCATGGGTGCATAACACATCACTTCTTTTGTAGAAATTTATCTTAGTACTTTGTTTTTGTTCCAGTATTGCTGGTATTGTTGATTGCTGAGATCATGTTGTTGCCACTAAATTTAAAGTTGTCATTTACCCAATTCACATTTTTAGACGAAATAGTTATTTAAACTATACATTTGAAAATACATAGCTAGAAAAGTTATTTCTATAATAAATGTTAAACTATACTTAACCGCAAACTCCAGCTAAAACAAGTAAAGTCTAACGACCAAACAATATAAGCTTTTTGTAATTTATTTGGTCATAAATGTTGGGTTTAAGATTTTCATAGGAATACGTAGGGTTGAGCATTTGGCCCGGGGAACCGGCTGGAACCGGTACCGGAATCGCAACCAGATAGAACCGATCAGGTCGGGAATGGAACCGGTAGAACCGGCAAAAACCGGAACCGTATGTTGCTATTTCTCGAGGACCGGTTCCAACATTGAAGACACTGCAAGAACTGGTAGGAATCGGAACCGGTAGAACCGACGTTCCAGTTCGGTTTCTATTTTCCACAAAGTTCGGTTCCCGGTCCGGTTCCGTTTCTCATCCCTAGGAATACAACGTAAATAAAAATAAATGACATTGCGTCTATTTAGGTATGACTTTCAACCAAACTCCATTTAGATTAGAATTTGAAGTTTTTAAAAATTATAACATAATCAAACCATGAAATTAATCGGGTAACAATCCAAGAACATGTGTTGAAAGAGTTAGACCATTAACGTTGAAGATGCACAAAAATCTTCAAGCAATAGACATTTTTATGAAATCACCAACAATAAAGAACAAAATATGCTTTGTTTTTTAAATGCCCAAATTATGTTATAGGTTTTTAGCATCGTATGTTCGTATTTATAATTTAAGTGGTATAACTTTATTAGATGTTGATTTTTTTATAAAAATGAACCGTAATGGTTTAATTTGACATAATTTCCATCAACATAGACATATTTTATCAAGATAAAATAAATTTATTAAATTACATACCAAAATTTTTTATCAAATCCAAAAGATATAAACCTATATTTTTCAAACTTCAACTTTAAACCAAACCAAACAAACTAAAAGTAAATTACGCTAAACTTTATTCGGTTAGGTTTCTATTAATATTTTAAAAGTAATACATGATGTAACCGAATCGAACAAAAATCTATAACCAATTAAATAGACTAGCTAAAAACAAAAGGTTATTTGAAATTATGTTATTCAGAATTTTGATATTTAACAATTATCGAATGAAGAGTAATTTTTAATTAGCTTTACACATAAGAGTAAAATGGTTATTCAATTCCAACAAAAAAAAAGTTGTTCACAGTATATGCCAAATAAAACTACTCTCGAAAGAAAACTATTTATCAAAGTGGAACTATTTGTAACCTAAATAAATGTATTTCTATTTTGAACCCGAAAGAGTGTGTAAAAAGAAAAACTATTTGCCGTTTGAAACTATTTGATGAATAAAACTAATTGGCACCGCTGCATCGCGCGGGTATTCCACTAGTTACCGTTAATATATAAATAAGAAAACGTGTCGGATTTAAAACTTTAATGAAAACCTTTGAAATTCTTTTACAGCCGAGGATCTCGGAACAATTAGATTCCGAGATAAGATGTTATAAGATACTTCGGAAATTAAGAATTGAACACATCATTAGTACATAGTATAGACTTCAAGATGACACAGTCTCAAACTGAATATCAGAGGTAAAAATGTATGAAAATCTTAGAGGACCAGTTTCAAAAGATTTAGATTCCGAGAATTGAAGGATCAGAGCTCAGATGAAGATAAGAGATAAACTCACATTATTGTTTCAGATTTAGGGTAATTTGTGCGTTGGTCCCTAACTTATTTTTTTAACTCGGAAGGTCCCTACTGTTTGTTTTTGTTACGTGCTTGATCACTGTCTTACCTAAAAAGACTATTTTGACCTTGATTTTTTAATTTATTTAAATAAACACGCCCCCAATCCCACCAATCACCTTACCTTACCTACCCCACCATTTTTCCCTATTTAAATAATAGTTTTTTAGGTAAGAATGGGACCAAACGCGAAAAAAAAAAAACAAACAGTAGGGACCAAGCGTGTAACAAAAACAAATAGTAGGGATCATTCATGTAATTTACTATTTTATATATATATATATATATATATATATATATATATATATATATATATATATATATATATATATATATAGGTTTAGGTTCTATGGAAAACAAAAAACCCTAAAAATAATTAAAATGTATAAAAAAATATTTAGAGATCACAAAACTTTTTTTTGAATTTTTTTATCAAAAAATCGCAACTTTTAGGTCAAAATCGCTGAAAATTTTTTTTTTCTCAAAAAAAAAAATTGATTTTTTATTTTTTTTCAGCGAAATTGTAAAAAATGCTGCGATTTTTTGATAAAAAAATTCAAAAAAAAGTTTTGTGATGTCTTGGTTTTTTTTTATGCATTTTTATAATTTTTAGGGTTTTTTTAGAGGTTTTTGTTTTCCAAATAACTCTTCCCTATATATATAAAAATGCATAAAAAAAACTAAGACATCACAAAACTTTTTTTTGCATTTTTTCATCAAAAAATCGCAGTATTTTTTACAATTTCGCTGAAAAAAAATAAAAAATCAATTTTTTTTTTTCAAAAAAAAAAAAAAATTTCAAAATTTTTTTTCAACGATTTTGACCTAAATGTTGCGATTTTTTGATAAAAAAATTCAAAAAAAAGTTTTGTGATCTCTAAGTATTTTTTTTATGCATTTTAATTATTTTTAGGGTTTTTTGTAGGGTTTTTTGTTTTCCATAGAACTTAAACCTATATATATATATATATATATATATATATATATATATATATATATTATATATATATATATATATATATATATATATATATATAAACGACCTCCCAAATTTCCTCAACTCTTTCTTGATTTTCTTCTCCTTACTTTCACATGCATGTGAGATCTGTTTTCTGTTCTTAAATTGGAGAAGATCGCAATTACCTTGTCATGATTTTTGGAATTGGTGGTCCGGAATTAAGGTAAACTCTCATTGCTTTATTGATATTTTTCAGTTTGCTTGCAACTTCATATTTTTATCTAGCTTTATTTTGCATAGATCAAACCAGTCTCCGAAAAATTACTTCACTAATTTGCGAGTTTTCTTTTCGCAAATCTAGTGGTCATTTTAATTATGATATAATTTTAAAACAAGGGCATTATACGATCACTTTCCATTTTTGGCGGGCTTTAAAAATGGAGAAAAGGAAGGTCCCGGGCCCACCAAGGGCATACTTGCAAAAAATCATTCTACCACCAATGGAGAGATGCCTAGCCTTCCAAAGGGAAAGCTTGGACTCGAATTATAAGCTTCCAACTATTAATACGTGACATTTTGTCTCCAACCGGGATGCCAAGGTAGGAGAAAGGGAGTGAACCAACCTTACAAGAAATACGAGTAGCCATATTAGTGATCTATTTGCTTCAAAAGTAACCTATGAGTTATAAGAAAAATCATACCTTGTATTTTAGGGGGTTGAAATCGTAACTATCTTTATCTTTTTTATTCTTTAGATTTAGATATGTGTTTGTAAACAGTTATTTCACAATTTATCTTATTAAATTACGTTTAAAATATTTGGTTATTAATTAAAATGGTTTATAAAATAGCAGTTGGGAGGAACATTTGTAAGCAAGACATCTTACGCTGTTACCAGAAATGGGTAGTTTGGCATCCTCGGTAGCTTCCTTTGAATTGCTTTGAACTAATTGTTTATAAAATTCCATTTGAAGGTTTGAAAGCAAAATCATTCCACTCCCGTTCGCATCATCATACACCTCTTTGCCTCTTTGTTCTTGCTCAAGAATCAAGATACAAAAAAGCCACCCACCTGGGTCTGTTGCTAATTAATCTCTCTGATATCCCCTAATTTCATCCCAGTTTTCTCACTTCACCGTTTAGGGTTCTTGGCTTCTTCCCAATGATGAAATGTTTCAGTATTTTCAGTTCCAGAACCAAAAGAGAAGGGAAATCTTCACCGGAGCTCCAGGAGCAAAACCCATCAACGAAACCACCGACAAGATTAGTAAGTTCCACTGGATCAATCACTTCACCACTATTGTACAAAGAAGAAGGAGATGTTTTGAGGAAGTTCTCGTTTTCAGAGCTCAAAAATGCTACTAATAATTTTAACAGATCGCAATGGATAAAAAATGGTCAATTCGGAAATGTGTATAAAGGGTTAATTAAACCTGTTAAACCTGCTGGTGATCAAGGTGCACATCTCGTGTTGGTGGCCATCACGAAACTTTACAATCATTCCATGCAGGTCTTCCATTAAAATTCTCAAAAATATTTTCTCTAATAATTCTCCGTTTTATTTGTTTAATCTTTTTGATAAGTTAGGGATGTGGAATCCATTGTTTAGTTATAAATTTTAGCTGTATTACATCTTATCGGTCAATTCTTAACATCATGAATTTAGAGCCCATATATATACTGGCTTCTAGTTCTTAACTTCAAGATTTATAACACTTGCTTAAACTTTGTAGTTAGATCAAGATCAGAGTGTTAGGAACAAAAACAAAAACAAAGATATTTTATTGGAGTACAAATCCAACATTTTATGTAAAAAAGTATTGTTTTGTGATGTGCAGGAGCATAAAGAATGGCTATCAGGAGTTGAGTTTCTTGGTGTTGTGGAACACCCTAACCTTGTAAAGATATTGGGATACTGTTTAGTAGACGATGAAAAAGAGAGACAAAGTCAAAGATTACTAGTTTACGAGTATATGCCAAACAAAAGCTTAGACTATCATCTCTTTAACACAACATTGCCACCAATTCCATGGATGAAAAGGCTACAAATCCTCCTTGGTGCAGCCCAGGGTCTCGCTTATCTTCATCAGGGTTTAGAGACCCAGGTATATATGTTTTACAAAATGTTTTCCTAATTGTTCAAAGTAACTATTTTATGACATATTAATTAAACTATAAACTAATGTTTTTGTGATTAAGGTGCTATTTGGTGACTTCAACTCGGGGGATGTGTTGTTGGATGAGAATTTCAACCCAAAACTTTCAGAGTTTGGGCTTGAGAGAGGACAAGTACGCAACCTGTCATACGTACGTACAGTGGTGAGTATTTCAAATCATTTGTCTAACATATGGCTAAATGACTCTATTCAAACCCTTAGGTAGTATTTGTTAATATGGAATCAGAAAAGAAATGCAATGATCATTTTCATTTTTGTTTTACCAATGGATCTAACATGTTCCATTTTGTTGATTTCATTAATGAGGTAGTGGGTGTTTATTTTTTTTATACACTTTTTGTTATTTTCACTTAATTAAAAATTTATTTTTTAAAATCTACTACAAAGAGTTATTTTTAATTTTATTTAGGTTTAAACTAAATTTGGTTATATTTATTTTCAGTTTTGTAAATATAAAGTTCTATAATTATAATTATAGTTAAATAATATAGCCTCAAACTGATCTTATTCGAGGAATCAGAGGAAAAATGGAAAGGTTCATTCCATTTCAATGAATATATAAAAACGTTTTATTTTGTGTAGTAGAATGTAACAAACCAATGGATCATTCGTGCAGTTCATGCATTCCTTTTGATAGTTTTTATTTCCATCATGGAATAGATTGAAAATAATAATAATAGTATAACACACAATTTTAGTCATGACACAAATATTTGTAGGGCCGGTCCAAGTCGATTTGGGCCGAGGGCAAAAATAAAAAATGGGGCCCTTCAAAATTAATAACTGCAATATATATATATATATATATATATATATATATATATATATATATATATATATATGATCAAATAAGAACACCTAAAAGGTTGAGATCGCGAGAACAGTTCTGGACCAATCAATATATAAGGGCATATTAGTAACTGTATATTTTAATTAAATTAAAATTAAATGAAATTCAATCAAATTCCCTTAAATTTAGGATCGGTTACCAAAAAACAAAGAAATATTCAATTTTTTATTTTTTTATTAATTGAATATAAAAAACGTTTTTAGTCAAATTTATTTAAAATCTTAAAAAAATCATTTTATTCTCCTATTTCACGTTTTTGTTTTTCAAAAAAATGAATAGAATCCAATTTCAAATCAATACACTTGTATTCACAAACGAAATGTTTCTTCAAAAAACCAAATACTACTCCAATCACAAATGAATACACATCAAATTACAAATAATTCAATGCCTTCTTCATCAATTGAAATGAATACACTACTATTCATAAATAAATACAATCATTTATACATTAAGACACTTCTATTCACAAATGAATACACTGTTATTCATAAATTAATACACATTCTATCATAAAATGCATACCTCTAATCATAATTAAATACATTCATTCACATGAATACACTAAAATTCATAAATACGTACAACCATTCACACATGAATACATTGCTATTCATAAATAAATACACTGCTATTCATAAATAAATACACATTCTATCATAAACAAGTACAATACCCTTATTTAACAGAACATGCCAAAACCTTCATAAATATGAATTTGAAACCTTTCATCAAACAATCCCTTCACATCTTCAGAAAAACATTTCTCTCTTTCTTCCTTATAAACCTCGCCATCTTTTGAAATTAAAGGAAGCCTCAGTCTCAAAGCAACTTGAAATGTATTCCGATTGAAGGAAGAACAATTTCATTTTCCTGTGTCATTTAAGATGGATGTCCGATTGCAATCTTAAGAGAAAGGTGGAATGATTTCATCTTCGGAAATGATGAATCTGAGTTCTGGAAACAATAATGTGGGTGTGAGATTATAACTTAAGAACTTTAGATTATTTGACAATAAAATAAGTGAACAAAAGGTTATTACAACCTTTATTTAATTGTCTTTCAGAAGTACAGGATGTCCAAATTCATCCATGAATCATCCAAAGGCAGGTTTAATTGGTTAAACCACTCCAGCCATCAAACTAAACCAAACGACCAACAATTGATGCTACAATTGAAATGAAATAAGCGAACAAAAGAAGGAAGGATTTCACCTGTCTTCAGCAATGATGAACCTGAGTCCCAAATCTGGAAACAATAGCTAGTTCGAAAGAGAAAGGCGGAATGATTTCATCTTCTTGTGTGTTTCAAGACGGATATCCGATTGCGATCTGAACCAGGTACACACCTCCCTCTCGGTTTTCCATGAATCGATTGGAGGTCCGATTGAGATCGAATTACAGGAGGCCGATTGGAAATCTACTTGCAGGTCTGATTAGGGCTACGAAAATCGAAGGTGCGGTGGAGGTAGGCTAAGAGATGAATATATCTTGAACATTGATGGGTTTCTTATCTTGAATCGAAGATGATGATGGAGGTTGATGGTTAAACCCGATGCTAGCGATGGTGGTGGATCAATGATGTAGGGCTGTGCAAAATTGGTGGCGTAGGGATGAGATGATGAAGATGAACAGATGGAGACGGTGGAGGCGTACCTAGGTTTACAGAGAGATGAAGAGAGAGATGGGAAATGGAAGGAAATAGGTGAGTGATTGAGGAATTATAGGAATTAACTAACGGTGGTATAGGTCCAATTACTATAATGCCCTTATCACCATTTAAAGTTACACTTTAATACCTATAACTTTTAGAATTTTACATAAATTGCTCGTTTGATAATAGCCTTAGATTTAGTTATTTAAATGGGTCAGATGTGTTCTCGCGTTCTCAACCTTTTAGGTGTTCTCATTTGATCCTACTCCTATATATATATATATATATATATATATATATATATATATATATATATATATGGGGATAGGGAATATACATTACAGCCCCACCTAAGCTTAGGTACTAAACCTCTAAAATATGTTGTTTTAACATGCTAAATATGCCCGGTTTGGTTGCACTTGGTAAATATATCATCTTCCATAACATTTCTTTCTTTCATTATCGTTTTATCATCTCTGTTTTCTTTCTTCAATTATCGTTTATTACTTCACCCAAGTGAACATTACTAAACCCTAAACCTACACCCTAAACCCTAAATTTAAACCCTAAACCCTAAACCTAAACCCTAAACCCTAAATCTAAACCCTAAACCCTAAACCTTAAACCCTAAACCCTAACCCTAAACCCTAAACCGTAAATCTAAACCCTAAACCCTAAACCCTAAACCTAAACCCTAAACCCTAAACCCTATTGTGTCGATCTTGAATTTACATCTTGAAGTATTAATCGTGAATCCATTTACCGTAATCTTTATATAGTAAAACAATGTATTTTCAAGAGGTTTAGTACCTAAGTTTAGGTGGGGCTGTAATGTATATTCCATTTTCCCTATATATATATATATATATATATATATATATATATATATATATATATCATGGTTGCAAAAATCGGGATTAATCGGTGATTAATCGTGGATTAATCGTTTGACGTTCTCCAACCGTCGAGAATTAGGGCATTAATCGGAAATTTAGGATTAATCGGGTTTGGCGGGATTAATCGTCCTTGGCGGGATTAATCGGTCAACAAAAGTCAAAAAAGTCGAAAAAAGTCAAAAAATGTCAAAAAAAAATTTAAAAATTTTAAACAAATTTAAAAAAATTTTAAAAAAATTCAAAAAACCAACTTTTTTTTTACTCCAAAATTTTCAAATTTTCAAAATTTCGAATATTATACCAAAATGTTCATATTTTCGTATTTCCAAATTACAATTTTTCTTATTTTCTAATTTTGAAGTACTTGTTTTTCTTAAGATATATTAACATTTAATATATATATATATATATATATATATATATATTGAAAAAAAATGGAATGTGTTTAAAGGATGTCAGTTAAAAAAACAATAACAAAAAAAATTAAATAACCGAACAACCGAACGATTTTGAAAAACCGCCGGATTGGTGTTTGCAAAAAAAAAAAAAAAAAATCTAATGTTGGTGAAAACTGTAAAATAAAAATTAAACTTAAAAATGTCCCCTCTAAAAAATATGTTATTATGATTTTTATTAACAAATCTACAATAATTACTTAGTATACATTAAAAGACGGTGCTAGATATATATATATATATATATATATATATATATATATATATATATATATATATATATATATATATATATATAATTGGCAATAAAAACATCAATATTTTAAATGAAATGAATGTTAGGATGGTGTGTTAAAAAATAAAAAGAGTCAATATACTTTTTATAATTTGGATGATTTGTGAATAACAAAGAAGAATATATGGACCATTTTTGTATTTTGAATTCAAATTCAATAAAGCTGCGTAGGATTAAAATATAAGTTAGTAGGGTAAATTATATCAATCGCCCTCGTGTAGGTGTCAGAAAGCACGTTTGGTACCTATTTTTAAAAATTAACTCGGACATTCCCTATGTATGTTTTTTCTTGCACGCTTAGTTCCTCCACGCATAAAAAGACTATTTTGCCCTTATTTATTTATTTTTTTGACTTATTTTTCTTTTATTTGTTATTTATTAATTATTTATGGATTTGTTTATAACTAATCTATTATTTTTTATTAATTATAATTTTTAGAAAAGGAAACACCCCCTTAAATTAACTCTAACCCCTTTAGCCATCAACCATCGACAACTACACCACTACCAATCAACTCCAGCCACCATCCACCTCTAGCCACCATCCACCTCTGGCCACCATCCATCAACACTGAAAACCATCAGAAACTACGACTTATCTTCATCTCTTTTTATCTCTCTCTCTCTCTCTCACACATACCTCTCTCTCTCTCTCTCACACACACATACCTCTCTCTCTCTCTCTCACACACATACCCCCTCTTTAAAATCTGGTACCTTATGAACCACTGGAAATGACTATCCACCGCCACTTAACCAAACCAAACCCAAAACATAGGCGATATTCGAAACCCTAGGCGGCGGAGTTACAGAATCCTCAGATCGGAACCCTAAGACGATGAAGATGACGACGTTCCAACACTGAGATGATGAAGATTCGAAACAACTCACCTCTACGACAAAAATAGTGCAAATCGTCCACCAGATCAATAAGCTTTGATGAACTACCACCCTCGTCTCCCGATTTGTGAGTCCATCGACAATGTTTTCAGGAGAACAAGTAGTAGCGACGAAAGTGTAGATCTGAGATGTTGTAGATCTGAAATGACGGAGGTTTTCACGAAGATGAAGGCGATGGCGATAAAGATGACGATGGTTAAGATCTGACGAAGAGGTCACCTTCTCCGGTGAGGTAGCAGTCACGACCACGTGACAGTTCCAAAGAAGGTGAGGCATTTATAAATAGTGAAGTTTTTGATGGCGATGGAGATGGAGATTTAGGTGGTTTTTTAGGGTTTTAGACAAAGATATGAGATGGCAGTAGGTGACGGCGGTACACCGGAGGAAGTGGAGATGTTTCCGGTGGTTGTTTAGATATATGGTGGTGGTGGTGAACGTTTCCGATGATGCTATATAGAGTTTGAGAGAGAAAAACATAAATTAGATTAACAATCTTTAAAAGGTGGGGTAGGTGGGGCCACATTTATTTTTTTAATTAATAATAATAATAATAATAACATTAAATTAATAGGAAAAGAAATACACAAAGGGAATTATGGTCATTTTATATCTGTCATGGACTACATACGCAACAAAAACGCATATCAGGGACGAAGCATGCAAGTTTTAAGCAAACAAGGGACGGTCCGAGTTAATTTTTAAAAATAGGGACTAAACGTGCTTTCTGGCACCTACACGAGGGACGATTGGTGTAATTTACCCAAGTTAGTAATACTGGTTTACTTATAATCAGAATGTAACAAAAGAAAAGGAGCCATAACGAAGCGATCTAATAACAAGATTCGAACCTGAGTCAAACAAGTCAAACAAGAATGTATATCGGCTACATACAATAACTCAGACCAACTCAGCTACTACAAGCTTTGTTTTTCTTTTAACAAAAGTTATATATATATATATATATATATATATATATATATATATATATATTATCAAACATAATTAATTTTGGGGCCCCAAACCGTAACAAGGCCCGGGGCCGTCGGCTAGGTTGCCCACCCTATTGGGCCGGGCCTAAATATTTGTAAGAATGTCTTGTATTTCATTATATTAAGTTTTATTTCTTAAAACAACTAGAATTTTTTTATTATAATGTTAACTGAGCTTTATTTAGTTCTTCTAATGTTGATGTTTGATTTTTATGATTTTATATATACACAATTATAATTAAATAATATATAGATTAATGTTAAAGTATATATTCTATTTACATATAATATAAAAAGATCAAATGAAAATTATTCCATCCGTTCTAACCAGCCAATCATGATTATGAAATATAGTGACTTATTAATTCTATAACCATATCGTTTTAGTTCATCCAACTTTATGCTTATGCTAACTTGCTTTGGTTTCCAGTCCTTTTATGCTTCCCCGGAATATGTGCACTGTGGTCATCTAAAGTCAAATAGCGATTCATGGAGTTTTGGAATTGTACTTTATGAGATTTTATCGGGCAGAAGGGTTATTGACAGAAACCTTCCACACTCTCAACAAATGCTTACCAAATGGGTGAAACAGTTCCCAGCCGATAGCAAGATATTCTGTATGATGATGGATCCACGTCTAGATAATCAATATTCTCTTAGTGGGGCCCGAAAAGTTGCAAAATTGGCTGACAGTTGCATGCGAAATAATCCGGAAGATCGACCAACGATGAGTGAGATAGTTGATGTGTTACAAGAGTCAATTAGAGACTCGGAAGATGAAAGCCAGAATCCGTTACCAGAGTCGTCTACATGAATATCCTAAGATGGCGTTTTGTTTGTCGGATCTTGGCGGAATTGGATTCAGTTCCATCGAATTCCTAGGTTTGGTTTCTAAAAGTGTAGGAAAATAAATTCCATTAAAATGCATATATAAAATACCTCAGCCGGTTGATTCTCATAAAAAACTAATGTCGATTGCTCCTTTAATTTGCTGCATAGCTTTCACTTGCTGTTTATATCAATTCGTGATGTTAATTTTATAACTTTTATTATAATTCTGTAGATTGTACCATGCATATTTAATATTGTATGGCAGATAATTTAATGAGATGGAAGCTATAACGACTGATAATTACCAAAGGGCATTTGGCTTAGCGGTAAATAGTGACTTTCTCAGATGAGACGTCATGGGTTCAAGTTTCTTAGGAGACATATGTGGTATTGTGGTATTTAGGAGAAGGTTAACTAATTTGAAAAAAAAAAGAGTGACAATTCAAAAATCATCACATTTATTTGAAAGCCTATAAGTGCTTGTAACTAGATTTATAAAAGTTTACATGCAGGCGTAATTGTTATTCCATGCATAAAATGATCAACTCGTTCCACACTCTTGTTCATGTTACAGATTTATGCTCATGAAGATTTGTATTTCAACTTTTTGTTTCTATATATTTTTAAACAAGAAAATGTCAGAAGAAGTAGAATCCTGAGTAAAGGGGGTCATTATTCCAATCTAGATTGGTTCTTTTGGGGTTCCTCTCCTTCATCGATATTTAACAAGTAACTATTGAGATGGCCCGTGCATGGCGACGGGTCTATTAATCTTATATTTTCGACATTATGTATGTAATGGTCTCTTACATAACGTCTCTTTCTATAATTTTTGTGAAATATGGGAACCATGTTTGTAAATTTCATATTAGGCATGGACCATTTATGTACTTTCTGAAACACACCATCAGTTAGAGTAAATTACTGAAATTGTCCCTGTGGTTTGGTCAAAATTTCCCGTTTGGTCCCTAACCTTTTTTTGCACCGGTACCATTCTTGTGGTTTCATTTTTTTTTTTTGCGTTTTTCGTCCATGAAAGGACTAATTTCCCCTTTATATTTTCTTTTTTATATTTTTATATTTTTTCTTTATTATTAAATAATGTAAATTATTAATTGAATTGGAAATAGATCCATCCAAAACCTTACACGGCTACACCCCTCGCTCCTCGTATCCTTCTCTCTCAATTCAATGCATCTGCCACCGAAGAAACTCTAATGCCGCTTCTAAACCCTTCCACAGGAAACTTCATCGGAGAAACAATAAACCATCATCACCAACACCATCGAAGAAACACTGTTGCTTCCTGAAACCAGACCGTCGACTCTCTTATCTCGTTGTTTTAAATCGCCATCGTCCCTCTCTTATCTCGCCGGAAACATCACCACCCCTGAAAACCACAACTCTCCCTCTGTTACCTGAAAATCGCTACTGAAGTCCCATAGAACCAACAGATCAACAAAATAGAACATCATATCGACCAAAGAGACAGAGAGATAGGAAAAGGATCAGATGGTTTATCACCTGGAAATCGCCATTAAAACACTTAAAAATCATATAGTTAACTGAAAATTGTCACTGAAACCTCTAAAACCACAATTGATTCATTGTTCTTGGATTCCAGATGCTGAGTTCTAGATCGATTTCAAGTTATTTTGGTTTCGAATGGTTTGATTTTGAGCTATGGATTTTAGGTTTTTTTTATAAAGATGCATCAGTGGTTTGAAATGTTTTTTTTTTTGGTGTAATGGCAGTAGTGGAGGTGGTAACGACTTATGTAACAATTTCAACGGTTAAGTTGATTTGGTTTTTGGATTTTTCTTGTCATCTTTCCATTGAGGGTTGAAATGTGTTGGGTGATAGTGTAGTAGGGTTGCAATGGTGGTTTGAGATATATGTGTGGTGGTGGTAAAGAGGATGGTTATCATGGTATAAGTTGATGACATGAAATGGGTAGGGAAAGGGTGGGCCCATATGGTTACTTTTTTTTTTCTAAAACTGATAAATAAAAAAAAGAAATTAGAATATATATATATATATATATATATATATATCTATATATATATATATATATATATATAAAACATCCCAAAAATTAAGACCAAAAATTTGTGTTTTTAAATTAATATAACTATAATCCAAACATCATCATAAAATTAAGATAGAACAAAGTGTGTCAAATACATCATGAAACATCAGAGTAATCATAAAATGCGGAACGAGGTGGTGTGCACACTGCAATCATCCCAGACTCTTCGCTTTTGAACCAGAAGTATCTGAAAGATAAACTGAAAACCGTAAGCACAAAGCTTAGTGAGTTCCCTAAAATACCACATACCATACATAATAATCATATAATGGGCCCCGCCCGGTATACATAAAAACATATAAACACATAAACACATAACACATGCAATAATCACAAAGATACATAGCATACAAAATGGTCATCGGGCCCCGCCCGGTATACATATAAACATATATCACATGTGAGAGTCACGCAGACATCTAGAATCCTAAACATAACAAATCATGGGCCGACATTAGTGCCTTCGACCCGCTAAACATAGTGAGGAAACTCACCTCAGCTGTAGAATCACATAGAAAAAATCTCAGACATTTGGTCCGGAAAATCTCCGTGCTGACATCATCTAATATATATCCAGTTAACAATTGGATCTCAACCCATAATCAAGAATCTAAGTTACTGACCCAATGCTTAGGGTAAAAGACCCTTTTACGCTCCTCCTCACTTGGTCCAAATCTAAGGCCCATTCCACTGACATAAAAAGCCCACTAGCGACCCATCTTCCTAAATGGGCCTGAAACCAATCATGGGCCTAATCCTAAAAAGGCCTAATTCCCTGAATGACACACAAGGCTCCAAATGGGCCCAAACACGATAAGGTCCAAAGTCAGAAACTAGTGGCCCAATAAGGCCCAAAAGCTCAAAACAGCGCCTCACGCCGTGACCAATCCTTGGTCACGTCGTGAGACATGTCTAATCCAAATCCGTGCCTCACTCCTAACTCAGATGACTCAGTGAGGACGGTGACCCATCCTCACGTCGTGAGACCTTATTTCTCACATTGTAAGAACGGTCTGAAGCCAAAACCACTATTTCAACGATCTCAAACCATTCAGCGCTTAACCTCACCCCTTCCAGAAGCTAAAGGGGACCCTAATGGTCCATAAAAATGCTTGCTTTATTGACATTCATGCACCATGCATGTTCCTTCACCATTTATGGTGAAAAGGTGCAAATATAGCCTCAAGTTCTCATGCAAACTCTAATACTACACCAAAACCTAGATCTGAAGGATATAAGACTCAATATGCCATTTAAATCCATAAAGTTGCTAACTTTATGGATTTACTCCAATCTAACTGATATGTGCATATTTATACACATAATTATACATCATAACTTAATATTTTAATTACTTTTATGCCCTTATTAGAACAAAATATATTTAATTTGTTATGAATTGTGTTATAGGGATAAAGGACATGCTTGGGGAAAAAAGGAAGCTGGAAGTTGGACCTGGGAGTTGGGAATTTCAATCAAAGCTTTAAAATGAAGAAAAAATACCCAACACGTCGTGGTGGATTTCCCACGGCGTGGTGAAGTGAAGAATCCTGATTTTCTTCGAATACTTGTAGAACACGGGATAAACACGAAGACCATGATGTGGTGGCCTTACCACGTTCTGGTGATCTGAATTCGGGAAAACTATAAAAAGGTCTCATTCTCCTCCGAATTGGAACCTTTGGCTCTGGAAGTAATCATCACTTTTGAAGGCAAAACACCTGTTCTTAGGCTTGGAAGCAAGGAATTCGATCATACCATTGGAAGGAGGAGCATTAAGGCAACAAATTTCTACACTTCGATTTTTCATTAGATTTTGCCATGTCAATTACTTTGAATTTCAATTTTATGCTCTTGTTTGCTGAAATCATGAGCTAAATTCTCATGACTTTCGTTTAGCCTAGGATGGATTGATTATTTATGGTTGAATTTATGGATTGGATTTAGCTATTTGGTTATTTATTGATTTTGCTTATTAAAGAACCTCAAGTACTTTTGATAACTATTTTCTCTACTTATTGTTGAATTTGATTAAGTTAGTATAACTATCTTCTTAGTTAAATTTGAATCTTATGATCTTGTGAATTGTAAAATTGTAGGACTAGAGTTTTGAACAAAACTTAGGGTTAAGTAGAAAAGTGGGTAAAAAGGTATAGGAGCTAATATATGACGACAAATCATATATTGAATTGAATCAATAAACTAAATTGATCAATCGATTATAAGTCTAATCAATTCGAACTAAACACTAGTAAACTTGTAAGTTTGTCCGCTTGATCACCGAATAAATAAGTTAGTTTGCTAAAGGATTAAATTAGTGAATATTAATTTGGTCATCTTAGGAATCGGTAACCAAAGAAACTAAAATCCATTGCACTTCCATAAATCAACCGTAATATCAAGTAAATCCGAAGTTAAACGAAAGTCTCTCACTCGCCTTGGTTAATTTAACTTTGCTCTCTTGCCTTAGTTTAGTGTTAGCTTAATTAATTGATAATTAGTTAGTTTGGTAATTTAAGTATCTAGTCATGCAAAACTAGGAAAACAAAACCTTTTCTAATTTCATTAGTAAGTAGTTAATAGTAGAATAAAGTTTTCCAAAACACCGTTCCTTGAGTTCGACACTTGTTCTTACCATAGCTATACTATTACACGGTTAGGTACACTGCCTAGTGTGTTTAATAGTCTAGTGAAAGAAACATTAGTTTTATTAAATTGAAATTTGAACAAATAAATATACACATTAAATACACATTAAGTTTTTGGCGCCGTTGCCGGGGAACGGTGCAGTTTTAGTTACTTTATAATATGCTATTTTATTAGGATTATTTACTATTTAGTTACTTTCGCTTTTATTTAGTTTTTATTTCTTTTTTACTCACCACGACGTGGTA